TCGAAAAAACAAATAAAATCGCTCCCATCGGAAATAACCTGGATATTAAATATTTGGCCGGCCCGGGCTCTGGATGAATTTCAATTTCGTTTCGGCATTACAATACTAGGAATTATTCAGCAAAATAAATAGCTGAAAATCAGAGGGCCGGAAGTGATATTTAAGCTCGTTTTATGCGCCGCCATTTCCATGCAATATGTCTGGGTCGTTCGAAAAAGCCGCCATAAAACCGGAGTTATCGACTAAGCCCATCGCAATTTGTAACCTTTAAGGGCAGTTCAAGCAGCACCCTTTGGGCGCTCAATTGATTTTTTTTGAACAATCTCTACAACTGGAAGAAGCGGCTTGTTACTTCCCATCCCTCTATCAGTCGGTTAAGACAACGGAAAGCTTCGGTCGAGGGCCGTTCCAATGCCAACAGTTTGCCCAATTAAGAACGATCTTATATCCGAAAAGGAAAAATTAGAGGTCGCTTTCAAAAAAACCATTTTGTCCCATAAAAACGTCGCCGTTTGGCGCACGAGCCATTAGGCAAACATGCCAGAAGGGAAGAACCTGAAGGTTGTAATGGAGAACGAAACGGTTCATTATTTTTTATGGGCAGGCGAGACGTGCGGCAGCACAAGCACGTAGTTGGGCCCAATTAATTTCCCCAAAAAACCCAACCTCTGCCCTCCACCCACCGGCGATTTCCCAACAAACAACAGCATGGGAATTCGTCGTTTCTTCAGGGACAAATTTCCATTCTTTCGAACGGATTCGTTGCGAAAAAACGGCCCTCGAACGATTTCCGATTGTGCCCGTTTCATTTGTATCCAGGTTAACAATAAACAGAAGCAGGCTCGTTCGTTCGTTCCTTCGTTCGTTGTAGACTAATAAAATTTCCCGGCGTGTTTCACCTGGAAATGAAAACGAAAGAAAAGCGACGGCCTAGAGCGGAGGGTTAACTTTGCCCCATCGTTCATTATTGCCTCGGTCACGCTACCATCTAAGTGTGCGGCATCGATTTTTCCTTCATTAAAAACGGCCACCGCGCCTTTTAACAGTGAAATCCAGATCTGGGCCCCTTTTGTGCCTACACGCTATCACTTTCGCTTTGGGGCGACTTTTTTTCGGCTTCACAGAACGAGAAAATCAAACACTTTGGCTTCAGAATCTTTGCTCGATTTTTGTGCTTGTGTGCCCCCGGTTCAGTCTTGCTAACAGAGAGCTTCTGATCAAATGTGTAGCTTTTCCAGAGCTTGAAAATTTGGCAATTTTTCAACTCT